AAAAAAAAAAAAAAAAAAAAAAAAAAAAACCCTCTGTGATCCAGCCCCACCCCATTGTCCTTATGCTACATCTACCCTGAACTGTTCCAGGCCAATTGTTTTTTGTTTGTTTGTCTGTTTGTTTTGGACCTCAAGTGCAGAGCTGATTGTGAACCTCAGTTCATGGTCCACTGCCTTCATCAATCCAGGGAAGGCCCCTCTTATTTTACTCTCTCCTTCCCTCCCGTCCCTTTCTCCTTCCATAGGCAGCCACCCTCTATATTCAGTGTATGTCCTTGGACATGTCCGTATCCTTGAAAAACATGCAGGATTATTTTATGTAGTGTGTTTTTATTTACATAAATGGTATTAGGCTATAAATCTCTATCTCTGACATTCATCTTAAAAAGAACTACCCAGGTTCTGCACATGGAACTCGTTCATTGCTTCTGTCTGCTGCAGAGCACTCTGTCCTGAGCATCCCACACATTCTCCACATCCATTCTTCTAGAGATGGACATCCAAGTTGCTGCCCACTCCTTGCTATCCCAAAGAAAGCTACAGTGAATGTCTTTGTTCCTGCCCCCTTATAGACCAAGAGGTTCCCTGGGTGTGTGGCCTAGAGTAGCGTTGCTGGCTTCCAGGCATGCACAACCTTAAATCCACGAAGCTCTGCCCCTTGCCCTAAGAAATAGCTGTACCAGTGTTCCCTCCCACCCTCAGTGAATGAGGGTTCCCCTTTCCTCACACGCCAACATTTAGGACTATCCAACTTTCTAGTTTTTAGTTCATGGTATAGTTGTAAAGTGGTATCTCTCTTATCTCTTTGCTTTTTTAAAATTTATTTTAAATTTTTTATACAATTTTTAAAGGTTACACTTATGTGCAGTTATTACTGTCTCTTTGCTTTAATTTTTATTACTGTCTCTTTGCTTTAATTTGAATCTTTCTGCTTACTAATGAGGTCTGCTTCTCTTTACATACTTATTAGCCATTCAGGTATCTCCTCTAGGAATTGCCTATTCATATCCTTTGCCCATTATTCTAATTAGTTTTCTGTCTTTTTCTTGCTGATGTGCAGGCATCTCTTGTGTATTATTAGTTCCTTTTGGTTGTAGACATTGCAGATGTCTTCTCCTTGTCACTTATCTTTGTCTGTTGACATATTTCTTTGAACAGAAAATCCCTAATTTGCCAAATGCCTCTTTTAAAATTTTATTTGTCTTATGATTCATGCTTTTGGAATCTTAAGAAATTCTATCTTACCTATGCCATGAAGATATTTTCCTATATTTCATGAATTCCTTTATTATTTGTATCTTCTGCATTTAGGTATACAGCCTACCTGAAATTCACCTTTATATATGGTGTGAGGTAGGGATCCATTTTATTTTTCTCCATTTAGTATGCCAGTTGTCCCAATAGCATCTACTAAACAGCATCCTTTCTCCACTGAGTTGTGATTCTGCCTTAAAGTTAAGACTTTAAGTTAACTTAAAATTTTATGTATGTGTGTAGGTACCTATATATTTCTGGTCTCTCTATTCTGTCCCATGGTCTATTTGTCAGTTCCTTCCTATCTCAGTATCACAATTCTTATTAATTTGGCTCTGCAATATGTCTTACTGTCTAGTAGGGCAAGTGTCCCCTTTTAGCTTTTCTTTTTCAAAATTGACTTAGCTATTTGAATCTTCATTCTTCCTCACATCTTAGAAATATTTGAACTCCTCAAAAAATTTTACTGACCATTCATTGGAATTGCATGGGATTTTATTAATATGAGGAGAACTGGATTTTTAAAACATTAAATCATGTTATCCATGAACACAATTTATCTTTTCATTTATTCAAATATTTGTAACTGTCCTTTAATAGAGTTTTCTAAATTTCTCCATAAAGGTATTAATTCCTAAATACTATGTGCTTAAGTTGCAATTTTGAATGGACCTTCTTTTCTTTTCTTTTTTTAATTGGTTATTGCTGTAGTAGAAGAATGCTATTGGTTTTTGTAAGTTTTTCTTGTATCTGGCAACCTTGCCAAATTCTATTACATCTAATAGTTTTTCTCTGCATTCTACTGGTTTTTTTTTTTTTTTTAAATATCATCCTTAAATACTGGTAGTTTTGTCTCTTCTAATCCTTCTGTCTAATTTCTTTTTCTTGTCTTGTTGCATTGGTCAGGACCGCCAATACTTTGTTGAACAGCAGTGGTGATAAGTGAATATTCTTGACTTGCTTAAGACTTAAAGGGAATGCAACTTTAAGTATGTTTCATGAGGGTTTTTAGTAGATAGCCTTTATGACATTAAGGAAGGTCCCATCTATTCCTAGTTTTATGAGAGTTTTAATCACAAATAGTGTTATCAAATACTTTTTAAAAACTTATTAAGATAATATATGATTTTCCCTCTTTGACACTATAAATTTTATAAATTGATATGTTTCTGATGTTGAATAATCCTTTCATTTTTAGGATAACCTTACTTGATTATGCTGTATTATATTTAATTTACTTTTTAAAAAACTGAACTATAGTTGATATGTGTAATTCACTTTTTTTTTTTTTTTTTTTTTTTGCGGTATGCGGGCCTCTCACTGTTGTGGCCTCTCCCGTTGCAGAGCACAGGCTCTGGACGCACAGGCTTAGGGGCCATGGCTCACGGGCCTAGCCGCTCCACGGCATGTGGGATCTTCCCGGACCGGGGCACGAACCCGTGTCCCCTGCATCAGCAGGTGGACTCTCAACCACTGCGCCACCAGGGAAGCCCTGTTTAATTCACTTTTAATGACGTATCCATGTCAATTTCATTTTCAAAGTCATCAATGTGTAAATATTCCTAGTCTTTTTACCATTTCTTAAATGGTAAGAATTTCTTAAAAAGTAAATATATCTGTAGTTATTTCTCTTTCTTCATGCAGTATTTTATTTGCATCTCCTCTGTTTTTGTCAGTCATGCCTGTCCTCAGTGCCTTTGCTTGTGCTGTTTTCTTTGCCTGAAATGTTCACCTCCTAGGCCCCTGGTAGCCCATGTGGGACCTGTGCGCAGATTAGGAGAAGGCATCTCTTCCTCAGGCAGGCACAGCTCCCACTCACCCCCATCAGCCCAGTGCCTGTGTGCAGTGCACAACCTGCATACCCATGCATGGCAACCCTGCCCACTTCCCTGCTCGGTTTTATTCCCTGCTCGGTTTTATTCCCTGCTCATTTCTCACGGCACCCAAGGCTGCCCAGTCTTCAGGTTTCAGCTTCCTTGGTGAAACCTTTCCTGTTCTCCCCTGGCTGAAAGTAATCTTTCAATCTTCCCCCTCCCTAAGTCCCTCCTTCTCTTCCCACCACCCCTCCTTAGAACTCACATCACACATCATTTGTGCATCTCTTAAGGCATTTATCTCGTTTTACCTTATGTCTTATAATTTTGTGCGAATGTCATATGATTCCAACTGGATTAACCCCTTGAAGTTAGGGACTATAGTTTGTTTGTCTTTAGATCCTCCCTCTGCCTGTGGGGCTTTGTAAATGTTACTTGTATGGATGATTGGGTATTAAATGTAGGAGGTAAGAAGGGCCTTATGTGATATTGTGTAAATGGTGTTGGGAGGTGGTCTTTAGAGGCAGAGATAATGGCAGAGCACACATGAAGGGGATGGTGATTGTGATGATGATGATGGTGATGGAGGATACACTTATTGAGCGTAACATGTGCAGCACTGTGCTAAACGCTTTCACAGTTTGCTTCTATAAGCCTTCTGAACAACCCTTTGAGACAGGTGCTACTATGAGCTTGATTTTGCTGCCAAGGAAGCTGGGGCACTGATGAGTCAGCAGTGGAGTTAGTGAACCAGGCCTGGTCTGCCTGGCTTCAGTGTTCGGGCTTTCAGTTACAACGACAAGCAGACTCCTTCGACCATACAATGGTTACCATTTATTGAAGACTTACCTACGTATCAGGCATTGTTGATGCTTATAGACGTTATTTCTAATCCTGATGCCAAATGTATCAAGTACAGAGTATCCCCATTTTGCAGATGAGGAAACAGAGGCTCATCAAAGTTAAGGGATTTGCCTAAGGTTACATAAATAGAAAGTGGTTATAATCAGATCTCTCTGACCCCAAAGCACATACTTTCCTCTGCATCATGGGCACAGTGCTTGGGGCCAACAAGAAAACCCTGCCTCTGGAGCAGAATGTTTGTGTAGGAAAGTGGAGGAGGCTGAGGTCAGAAAGGCAAATCTGCCTCAGGCTGCGGAAGGCCTCGCCTTCCAGGATGGATAATCAGGGCTGGCTTTTGGAAATCAAGGGTCCTAGGCAGGGACCTTGATTTGGGGATGAAGTGGGATGGTCTGGACACCTGGAGGCCAAGGGAGCCCGAGCTAACTGGAGCTCTGCCCAAATCTGTGCTCAGGGAAGCACAGGGCTTTGCACAGCTGCAGGGAGATGGAAGCACCCAGGTCTGCAAAGAAAGTGGTATCTGAGCAGATCTGCAGCTTGTGGAAATGGTCCATTTCATGCCTCTCAGTGACTGCAGCTCCTTGAACCTGCTTATTTCCCGAAGGCACCAGAACCAACTTTCCTCAGCCTCCTAGATCTCCACTGACATGGCTTCTGAAGAGCTGCTGGAAATCCCCAGGGTGGGTGGTGGGAATTTGCCAGGGATGAAGCACAAGCAGCATGGCCTGCACCCTCTGCACCATCTTCGTTTCCCAGAGCCGGGAGCCCATCTCCTGCTCACATGTGCTCAGAGGTGGGTGGAGATGTGCAAAACCCAGGAGTGGTGCAGATGGCATTTTTGACTCTTGGCCAGCACTTACCCCAGCCCAGCTGGTCCTCTGTGGGCCGCAGTGTGACTCTGTATGTGTGTAGTCACCACGTGCCTCACTAGTGCCCTTCCCTGTCCAGGTCATTGCTGTGGTCATGGACCTCTTCACTGATGGTGAGATCTTCCAAGACATTGTGGATGCTGCCTCCAAGCGCCGCGTGCCAGTGTACATCATCCTGGACGAGGCGGGCGTGAGGTATTTCCTGGAGATGTGTCAGGGCCTGGAGCTTGCTGACTTCCGTATTTGGGTAAGTTGTATCACTGGGACTGGGGGTGGGAGGGGGGAAGGAAGTGGGATGGAGACTGCCTCTGCCCCTCCCTCTGCCTGCTCCCCAGTTCAGGGGCCCAGGTGAACAGCACTCTCAACCCCTTTCCTACTGTCTAAAACCTTGCCTCATGAACTGATAATCCTAACTGCATGACCGGCTTACATTTTATCCCAAGGCTGCTGAAGCTAAGGAGGCAGCTCCAGCTTAGTCCCGGGCGCTCAGCCCGCAGAGTCACTGTCAGGGTTGAAGGCAGGGCTGTGTTTCTCTTCTGAAGAGCTTTGAGAGCAGACTGGGGCCACCCTGGGCCCGTCCGAGCCCAAAGCCAGATTTGCTGACTTCCTCAGGCCATAGGAAGCAGAGTCAGGGTCCCGTGGACAAGAGGATTCATCCTCCACCCACGCAGAGACTCAGCTTAGAGCCTCTAGGCCCCCAACCTGAGTGACAGTGCCCTTCTCCTCTTCTCAACAGAACATCCGTGTCCGCTCTGTGACAGGTGTTGGCTTTTACATGCCCATGGGGAAGATCAAGGGGACCCTGTCATCCAAGTTCCTAATGGTAGATGGTGATAAAGTAGCCACTGGATCCTACAGGTGAGTTGGGCCAGGTCAGAGAAGGGCCTGGGAGGCCTTTGTTCATGTTCAGAAAGATGCTGGACTAGAGCCTCCACAATCATGAGTTTAAGAGCTCTTGTCTATTCTGATAGCAAAGAGTAGCCTCCTGGCCAGTCCCTTCCCTCAAACTTTCTGGCTAATGGATTATTCAAGAAAGAGGGTCAACTTTTGTTGAGCATTAAGCACTGCCTGCCTTTCATGGTCCACAACAACTGGCTGCCTTTTGAGGCTGGAAGAGACCCGGGCACATGAAACAATTAATAAATGGCGTCCGTCCTCTTATGTGGTTGAAGTATGGGGTTCTGCAGACGCTATAGGTGCTCTAACAATTCACAGAAGAACCATTAAGGAATGGAATATGGTTAACAGTAGTGACAGCTATAGGTACTACTTATTAAATGTATGTTTGTGCCAGGTACTGAGCGAAACCTTTTATATTCGTTATTGGACTATGAGCCTCACAGCAACTCTGTGACTGTACACCTTACAAGCCCCATTTGACGAGGCACGCGGGGCAGAAAGCAGGTTTGAATCCAGACCTGACTTCTCTTGCCCTTGCCCTTGCCCCGCACCCACTGCCTGCTTTCTGCATTTGAGGCCAAGACCTGGACCAAGGGAGGATTTGGGTCTGTGGAGGGAGAGCACCCCAGCACGAAGGCAGCAAGGCATCCAGCCTCAGTGGTGGAGCAGGTCGGGCTGGGCAGCGGGGTTTGAGATGGGCTCACTGAGGGGCGGCTGGCAGGGCGAGGCTGCAGGCCCGGGCACATGTATGTTGCTTTTCTGTCCCCATGTTCCCAGATTCACCTGGAGTTCCTCCCATGTGGACAGGAACCTTCTCCTCCTCCTGACGGGGCAGAACGTGGAGCCCTTCGACGTGGAGTTCCGGGAGCTGTACGCCATCTCCGAGGAGGTGGACTTGTACCAGCAGCTGGGCCTGGCAGGAGGCGCTGGCAGGCTGGGCCTCAACTACTCCTCCACTGTGGCTCGCAAGTTTATCAACCCCAAGTACACCCTGGTGGCAGGCAGCCTCCACCCACCCGGGGAGATGATGCGCTGGGCTGCCCGGCAGCAGCAGGAGGCCAGCCGCAATGCAGAGGGGCAGGAGGAGGGCAGCAAGGGCGGCGAGTCAGCACGGCGCCTGGAGAGTTTCCTGCACGACCTGGTCACGCTGGAGCAGTTGCTGCCCCCCGTGGAGCCCATTCTCTCGGGAGAGCTGAGTCGGGATGGCAGGGTGGTCTACCACCTGTGTGTGGACCTGAAGCCCAGACCCCGGGAGGCCCTTGCCCGAAATGGCAGGGGAGCAGCTGCCAATGGGGAGGCCAAGGAGGGCAGGCACTTCAGCAGCAGGTTCTTCAGCCGGCGGTCCAAGAGGCCCGCAGCGCCCAATAGCACGGCCAGCGCCCTCTCCCCCGAGGCCTTGGCCGAAGCGGAGTTTATGGCGGGGAAGAGGCCCAACCAGGGCTCCAGTGGCGATGTCTCAGGTGAGCCCCTCCCACCGGGCCCAGGGCTCCTCAGGCCTCTGGCCCTGGTCCAGGAGCACTGCTGATTCTGTAAGAAGGCCGCCTCCCGGCAGGGAGAGCACATCAGCTCTGGGCCCTGTGGTCCTCAGTTCCCATCCTGCTCTGGCCTTTGCGTGCGTGTGGCCTGGGGCCAGCCACTGCAGGCCGGAGTTTCAATTTCCTCTTCTCTAAAAGGGGAAAGTGATGCCTGCCTCGCCCAGCTGTTCTGAGGATATGAAGTGCTCAGAACAGTGCTGGGCACGGAGTAGTCTGAGACTAGGGCTCTGACTCTAGGGCTTGTTCCAGCAAACCTTGTTCCATGCTGGATCCGTTGCCGTCAGGATCTGACCTGGTCAAACACACTGCACCAATGCCCTGACCCACTTCTCCTTGTTTCTGTTGTAAATAGTCTGACGTGGCTCCTCCCTGCGTTTATTTGATAAGTGGTATTTACCAGGCTGCTTACTTCTGGGAGAGATTGTTCCTGGTGGTGGTATCTTTCTGGCTGTCTCTCTGCCTTTATCTCTTTCTCTGGAACAGTCTCCAGAGTGGCCTTTTCTGGCTGGTGGTGACAGCCAGGGCCACTGCTGGCACCTTTTCTCATGTCGGCATTGCTGAGTCAAAGGGGTTTCCATGTTGGGGTTTCTCCCTCCATGGCTGTGGGGCTTTGCAGCGGTGAGGCTGGGCTCCCTGGCTGGCCAGGTAGGTAATGGCAGGGACTTACCTTGGGCAGCCTGAGTGCTTCCAGAATTCCTGTGTCCCTCAAGGCCCCAGCTTTGACCTGACATTGGCTGGAGTACAAGTCTTCCCAAACACTGATGCCCCAGCCCTGCTAGAGAGCCTGACGCACTCAGTCTGTGCCTCTTAAAGTTAGGACAGGCCTGGAGTCTCCGAGAATTTGGGCACAGCAGCAGTGCCAGGGCTATAGCTGCATTTGGCCAGGAAGCATTTACTGAGCGCCTCGGTGTACCGGGTCCTTCACTAGGTGCTCTCTCTCTCACTTGGCCCTCACAGGAACCACGGAGGTGGCAGATGGAAGCTCAGGGAGGTGAATTAAGTGGTCCCAGGGCACAGTAAGTGGTAGTGGGGCCGGGAGGCAAACCGAGGCCAGGGCCCGTGTCCTGTCAGGGAGGGGTAGCTGGGCCCGTCCCATTTCCCCTGGGCTCCCTGGCTCCCCCAGCACCCGATGCTTCTGCTGCCCTGCACCTCTTGTTTGGAAGAAGGGTTGCCATGGTGAACACCTGGCAGGGAAGAGAGGGGGAGGGGCAAGCCCAACCACAAAAGGGGCTCTTTCCCACGTCCTGACTGCAGGTGAGGTAGAAGCTTTCTCTTCCTTCAGCCCCTCACCCTGAGGTGCTGTTTCCATAGAAACAAAAGGCCATTGTCTTATCCCTTCCTGCCTCCTTTAGTGAGTCTCAGCATCAGATTCCCCTGCCTGGATGACTTGAACAGGTCACTGACACTTGCGCTGCTCCCTGAGTGTTTGCATGGGGTGCCAGGAGCCAGCCAAACAGCCAGGGACAGTGCCCTGTACCAGCTCGTCTCCTGAGTGCCTGGCACCCAGAGAGAGAGAGTCAGAGACGGAGAGAGAAGGGCAAGTGCAAGAGTGCAGCGGCACGCGCGAGGGACGGCCCTCAAGATCACCCTATTCCTGCCCCATCATAAGGAGACACACAGAGCGGCCTTGTCCAGCACAGCCTCTGTGTACCTGGATGGGCATCCAGCCCTGAGGGCCCGGAATTCAAGTCCCTTAAGAGACCTTTCCTCTCCCTGCTGCTTTCTTCCCTCAGAGGCAGGCAAGAAGCAGAGACTCCCCTCCCCAAAGGCTCTTTTTGTGGCCTCCAGCCTCCCAAACATTTGACTGGTTTAGTGCCTCCTCTCAGGCAGCAGAAGCTTATCAGCAGGACTCTGTGTGCCAGAGGGTCAGGTTCCTGGCAGCATGGGGGTCCCCAAGGTTGGAACTAGCAATCCTAGTACACTGGGAACTGTCATCTGGGAGGAAATCACTTTAGCTATTCCCTTAGGGCCCCATCCAGGGAAAGGATCCCTGTCCTACAGTGAACGTTCAGAGCATCATCAGAACAGCCATCGGATGGACCTCAGCTCCCAGTACCTTGCTCCCCACACGTTGGACACATCCTTTCACCTCCCCGGGGCTGTTTCCTGGTTGAGAAGAGGAGGGGTTGATCCAGGGAGGGTTCAAGAGGTTCCTTTGAGCTCTGATTCTGACTGTCCTTTCTGTCCCTGCTGCCCTCTTGTCAAGGGAGAACCCAGGCCGATGACAGGGTGGGTAAAAGAGAGAAAAATAGAAAAGCAAAGAGCTGACAGCCTGTACAATTACTTGATAAGAAGTATATAGTTGTCAAACAGCATGCAAATTTTTGCAAACCCGAGTGTGGCCCTTGGGAGAACCTTCAGAAATCCCTTCCTTTGGGTCTGGCAGTCCAGCCGTGGGCGGCCAGGTGGTTTGAAGGCTCACAGCGCCCCCTACTGGTGGAAGCCAAGCACCCTCTCCTGGTTTTTCTCTCAGCGGAGTCCTTGCTCCTGCAATTGGCGCCTTTCCTGAGCCGGCCACCTGTGCCCATCCCGGAGCTCGGGACTCTGGGGCAGAGTCCAACCTCAGGGACCAGCAGTCACTGGAGAGCCTTGTCAAAAGAGTGAGGAGTCTGTCCCGCTCGGCTGGGCTCAGGAATCTGCATTTCAAACGAGCGCCCTGAGCGTTTTCCCACATAGGGGTCCTCAGAGCAGCAGATTAGGTGACAGGGCTCTGCCCTTGGGGGCTGCCAGTTTGGGGGAGGGGGTTCCAGGTGATGTCCTGAAACCCCTCCTGGTCCCCCTGGGGAAATCCCTGGGACAAGGCCAACATTCTCGTGCACGGTAAGAGGAGGAAGAAAGGCACAGACTTTGGCTGAGCACCTGGCGTGTGCTGGGTAGTCACGGTGCTAAATGCTCTCACCCAGAACCCACAGCCACCCTGCCTGATGACGTTGTTTCAAGACGAGACCCCAGAGGTGCAGAGAGGCGAGGCCCTGTGCCCACGGTCATGAGTGAGAAAGGGTGGTGGGCTCTCCTGCCTCCCAGGGCCTGCCAGAGCGTTATGGCTATCTCTGGAAGGTTAGGGTTGACACCAGCTGCCTACGTCTTTAAAGGCTGTTTGGAAGGGCCAGAGGCCTGAGTACATGACTGATTCCCCCCCGCCCCCCGTACGGAGGAAGAGGAGAGTGCCTCTGGGTCCCCACCTTCCGAGGGCCCCTGAGGCCATGCTTCCGTTCCCAGAGTTCTCTGAGGTGACTGCAGCCACAGTTGCCTTGCCAGAACTCCCAGGTTCCCCTGAGTGGTGCGTGGATGGGCCACCCTGGCTGGCAGTGTGGTCTGGCTCCTAGCGCTGTGTTCGCTGGCTCCTGGATTTGGGAACCTCAGATTTGCCTGTGTCATCCCTGGGGTGGAGGTCTCAGATCTCTCTCCTGGAAGTCTGGGCCCCTGCCTGGGATGGAAGGCTGGGGAGGTGCTTCTGGGGTTCAGAGGTCCATGAGGGACCTGTGGGCCTTCAGTTCCAGGGTAAGCCGACTCAACAGCTGTCTTGCCAAGATGGAGTTCCAAAACTCAGTGTCGCTCCTGAGGTCAGACCCCAGCTGATGTTCTCAGGCAGTGCTCTGATTCCATAAACCTGAGCACTGTTACCAGCCAAGGTCTCGGTCACATGGCACAGATGAGGGGAGCTGAGTGGGCATCCTTCGAGGAGCTGATCCCACTGGGCTCCAGAGAAGAGGCAGGCATCCTTAGTCTCATTGGCAGATGTCAAAATCCCCTGCCCTGCTGGTCTCTTGGGCCTGGCCAGGGCTTCCGTCACCATCTAGGTGAGTGCGGGCACGTACGTCACCCAGTCACCACCCACTGATGCCACTGCAGTCGCTCTCGTTATTAGATTGGCATGAACCCTTACGTAGCTTGCTGCTGCCTGATCATTGTTTTCAACGCATGTCTATCTGTGCGGTGTCTGCTCTGTGCCAGGCACTGTCCTAAATTCCTGGTGTAGCAGTGGACAAAGTGAGCTTGCCCCTGCTCTTATGTACTGGGTGGGGGACAGGGACGGCAAGGACCTTCTCCTGAAGAGTGATCAAGGAAGGCCTCTCTGACAAAGGGGCATTTGAGCAGAGACTTGAGTGATGGGAAGCAGAGAACCATGTGGACATCCAAGGGAAGAATCTTCCAGAAAAGGGGAGTGTGAGGTCCTGAAGCCTGTAGGGAGGTAGAGCTCACTGTCCTTGTCATAGCCGTCTATACCACTGTCCCCTCTCCTGCCTGCCGAGCCGGGCCAGCCAGGTCCTGACCATCAGACCGGGTCCTGAAGCTCCAAGCCTTCCTTCAGGCCGCGTCTCCCCCACTTCCCGCCCCTGTGTCCAGTCTCACCTCTTCCTTTGAAGTTTGACTTTCTCTCATGAGCCTCCTTTGGGCCGCCCGTGCCACATATACTTTGTAAAAAGTAGAAATGTGGGGCTGTTGATATATTCTCCACTCATCTGAGCAGGTGTGATTGGCCACGGCGTGTGCTGCAGGCGGCAGCGGGCTCCGGTCTGTGCGCCGCGGGAGGGGTGGGCTCGAGGGCGTGGTCCTCAGCCCGGCCTCCCGTCAGATGCGTGGAGGTGAATTCTGAGCGAGAGGCCCGTGTCCAAGCTCGCATCCAGCCTCGGAGAGCGGGTGGGAGCGTGGGGAGCTGGCCACAAGCCTGCTCTGCCCCGGCTGCCCCCAGCCCACGCGGCCACTCCTCCCTGGCCTCGGGAGCCCAGAGGACTTTTCTCACCTGCCTCCAAAATTCTGCTGCCTCTGGGGAGAAACTCAGCATCTGCTCAGTAGGCCAAGCAAGTACAGCAAGCCGCTGAGGACAGGAAGTGGGGACGGACGTGTCCTGCGGCAGCCAGGGGACTGCAGCACGGGAAGGGCAGCGGAGGCAGCCTCAGCACCCAAGGAGGCTGGAGGCTGACCCAGCTCCGGGCCCTTGGAGCCACAGGGAGGCGGGCATCATCGTCTGGCTCCCTTCCCGCCTCATCGACGCTCTAGCTGCTCTCGGAACGGCCTCCAGGGAGGCTCAGCTGGACCCGCAGCAAGTCCCGAGGCCTGGGTCCCGCTGGCCGGGCAGGGAAGGGCTCTACTCAGGCCTGTTCAGCGTCTCTCTTGCTAATGGCCCGGGAGAGGAGGCCAACACCACCTCCATGAAATTCACAGCTGAGGTGATACGGGAAGGTGGTGTGAGTGCCGGGAGATGACCCTGGCCCTGGCGGTATGGAGAGGAACCGGCAGGAAAGAGGTCAGCGGCCGCCCAGGAGACAGCGGCCAGCGCCCCAGGAGGACTCCCCACAGCAGACACGAGGCGCTGGTCTGAGGGCAGGAACACAGCTGGCCTCTGCTTGGGGTGTAAAGGCAGTGGACACGGATGGAAGGGGCCTGGGAAGAGGAGAGCTGTGCCTCTCCACCCCTTCCTTCTTGGTGAAGGGTGTGCCCCGTGCCCCTAAGCCTGGGGTCTGCGCCACCATGCCTGGCTCCCTCCCAGTCAGCCTACTGGCCCCTCCTGAGGCACCACTTTGCCCCTTCCACGTCGGCGGCCTGAGTGGTGGGAAGAGCTGAGATGGGGCTCGGCAGAGCAGGCACTGGCGCAGGCGCTGCCCAGCTCTGGGGGCTACTGGCCCCCATGTCCCCCACTGTCAGGTCGGGCCGAGGATGCCCCCTTGCAGCAGGGCCACGCTGAGAGTCACTGACAGTGACTGCGGTCGTGCTTGTGAGCTGTGACGCAGCATAGGGTATTAGGAACTGGTGAATCGCCCCGCTGAGGTCAGAAGATGGCAGATCCCTGATGCCCCAACGAGTGGTGGTCTTGCTGAGGCTGTCAGGACAGGGAGAATCTTTCCTTTTGCTCTTCTGAGGACCTACTGACCTGGTTTCAGCAGCTTGGGAGGGAGACAGTGACCCAACCACCCAAATTTGCAGTGTGGGCGGTACATAGTAGAGGGGCTGGAGGCCAGCCCAGGGAGCACTTTACCTACATCCTCCCTCGCCTGTGTCCCTTGTCTCTGCAGGTAAAACAAGTTCCAGTCCTGCCAAGGCCAGCAATTGTGTGATTTTGTGAGCTGCGGGCCAGATGTTGGCAGGACCTATGGATGCCCCCATCCTGTCCTGTGGAGACAAAGGTCAAACCCTGCACCAATTTGCACATCGGACGCCTAGTGGCCTCCTGCCCCAGCAGCCTCCATCCTGGCCTCAGGGACCCTGTATCCCAGATGTGAGGGTCTGCAGCATCTCAAGACAATCACACGCCTCCACAAGACTGTCGTGGCCGGGCAGGGGGGGTCACCCTTTGTTTACATGAAGTGGAAGCTTGACTAGTGTCTGCTCTCCTTTATGCCCAGCCCCCTCCATCCACTGGGCCATCCTTGCCCTGCAGGCCCCCAGATGGGGTGAGTCCATGTCTTTCTACCTTAATGTGATGGGGTCTCCGGGGCAGCCCCAGCCCCCAGCTTCTCCTTCCCTGGGCTTCCTGGTGCTGCTGGTCCCCCAAGAGGTTTGGTGGAACAGAAGGGATGAGGACAGGGCTCTGAGCCCGGGATCCAGTCTTGCTTGAGCTTCTGAACTCAAGGTGGAAGATGCAGCGAGGACGGCTGGGGGCTGGCTGCTGTGGCCTTCCTGGCCTGTCCCTCAGACTCCTGCAGTAGACTCTGAATGCAATGAGGGCAGAATTTGACCCTGCCATTTTGAGAGCCCTTGTGCTGAGGTCTACTTTCCCTCCCCCAGCACCACCCTGGCAGGCTCTGCCCTGAGTGGTCCGGGCCTCCTTGGCTATTGCCTGATGCAAGCCCATCTGGCAGTTCTGCTAGTGCCTTTACCTGAGGCGGCTCCCTCCCGTTTTTTGCCTTGATTTGCAGCCCAAAGTAAGGAGAGAGAGAACCTGGCTGATGTTCTGGTGGTGCTGGAGGCTGGGCCCTGTCACCAGGAGCGTTTGCCCTCCTCCCACCCCAGAGATGGCCCTCAGTCCCTTCACCAGCCAGGACTTATGTGCCTTCTCTAGTTATATGTCAGCCAAAGACCAGCCTTGGCCTCCTGCCAAAGTCAGACTGTATTGAGGAGCCTCAGCCTCCCTGGCTTCTTAGGGACCTGGCCTAATTGCCATGATGCCAGGCCAGGAAGACCAGCTGAAAATCGCACACCACCCCCTCTTCATGCATGTGACTGAGAGGACCTGCGGAGAGAGTTCTTGAATGGACAGCAGAGAAACTTCCAAACCACAGGCTCTGTGGCTGGCCTTGCTTCCGGCCGGGTGCTGGAGGCCTGGAGAGCCGGGGGCTGCAGTGCCTGAGAAAGCACCATGCTCAGCCTCTCTCAGCCTCCTGCTTCTGAGCCAAACTCTCGTCCTCACATCTTTCCTTCTGCAAAACCCTGGGGCACCAGCAGCACCTTGGGGCGGGGCCCCGGTACCTGCTAGCGCCTGATGGGAGAGGGAGCAAGGGGACCAGCGAGCACCCTGAGAGGAGCCTGGCCTCCCTGCTGGGTGGTGGGAGGGGCAGGGGAAGGAAGGGTGAACCTGGTTCTTGGTGGGTGAGGGACCCTGACCCACCTCCATGAGCGTCTGTGAGGATTAAACCCTTGCTGGGAAGTGCTTCCTTATGCACCAAGGCCTGGCGATGTGGCCCTGCTTGTTCTGGAGGGGAAGGGAGAGGGAGGTGGAAAACGAGGGGCAGGGGTTACACCTCAGCTCAAAGTGTTTGGGTGGAGAGAGCACTCTTGGTGAGCAGAGTGGACACCTCTGGGGCAAGTGGGGAGGCCAGAGGAGGGGACCAGCTCCTAAGCGATTGTGCCTCCCCTGCGAGAGAAGCAGGCCCATGGAATCCCTTTCCCATCTCCTGACCCAAAGCAAGCCCGGTTCCTCCCCTGCCTTCACATGCAGGAGGCTCTGGACTGGAAGTTCCAAGTTGCTGCAGCCTTGAGCCTGGCTGGCCGTCCTGCCCCGGCTTCTCCCTGCACCAGCGTGGGGTCATTCTCACTCTCTTCAGAGAAACCAAGCAGGATGGGAGACCATGTGTTAAAAGGGAAGCAACGCAGTGTCACGGGAAGAGTGCTGGCCTGTGAGGTGGGGCACCTCTCCCCTTCCTTACAGAGGTTTCGGCGAGGTGGTCTCTGACCCCCTCCAGCTCTAAGATGCTCGGGAAGAGACGAGAGTCCAAAGGTGGCTGAGGATCCTGAAGACCTCAAATGCAGCTTGTCTGCCTAAACTCCAGCCCCTCCGTTCTGCCTCTCGGCTTCTCACTTTTTAGTGCGTCTGCCCTCTGTTCCAGCACTTTGCACATGCTTTGTGAAATACTCTCTCTGTCATCAAATCTCAAGGGGACATCTGGCCTTCCCAGTTGGATGGCAAGTTCAAGGATGGATCATGCCCTTGGTCCCTCTGCAGCAGCTTCCACAAGGCTGGTAACACCAGAAGGGCTCCAGGAGGAACAGGGATGAAACAGTACTCTGGGTGCGGGGCCTGGCTTCGCTGGCCCCATCTCACCCCACCACCAAGCTGCCCACTTTCTGAGCACGGCCTCTGTAGGTTGAGTGCCAACAAATGGCACAGCTCCTTGAGAGGCCGACCTTAGATGAGCAGAGGCACTTGAGGGCTGAGACCCCAGGGCTGCTGCCACCCTAGACCTCGCCCCGTAGGAGCAGGAAGCCCAGGACCCCCGCACGGAGCTGGGAGGCTTTCCCATGACATTTGCAAAACTTCCCAGTCTCATTGTCAGCTGTCCTTGGGGTATGGTTAGCCCTAGTCCTGATCCTTCAGGGGTGCTTCTGAGACCGCTGCCAACAGCTGTCAGCTGTCCTTGGGGTATGGTTAGCCCTAGTCCTGATCCTTCAGGGGTGCTTCTGAGACCGCCTCTGCCAACAGCAGTATCCCATGCCTGTTTGGACCCTAATAGAAAAGCTGGACCACAAAGGCAGCCTTGAGATATGGAGGAAACGGGCCCGGGGGGAGGGGAGGGGTTACGGGGGAGACTTTTTTTTTTTTTTTGCTATGACGCTTTCCTCTTTTTAATTTATTGAACACCTACTATATGCTAGTCACCGTGCTAGATGCCTCCCTCAGTCACCTGCAGGTTTCAAACTAAGAAGCTCAGGAAGAGGCCCTTTACAAAGTTAACAAAAAGTTCTACTGTGTATTTGGAGATTGAGCCTCACAAACTTGTGTGATGAGCAGCTTGGGTCTTACCACCCCCGTTTTTCAGATGAGGAGGTGCATTGTTCTCCCCAAATCCCACAGCACATAAAGTGCAGATCTAGCCTGCCCCGCCAACTCAGGGTTTCCTGCCTTCAACGCCAGTGACACCAGATACAAAATTCTCTGTGGGAGGAGAGGCTGTCCTACACGTGGTAGAATGTTTAGCAGCGCCTCCGGCCTCTTCCTACCAACTACCAGTAGCACCCCTTCAGATGAGACCACCAAAAATGTCTCCAGACATCTCCAAGTGTCCCTGGGGTTAGAATCGCCCCAGTTGAGAAAGAGCTCTTTGCATTGAGCCCTGAAGGGCCACGGGCTCCTGCCTGAGCTGCTTTCCATGCTTACATCCTGCAAAACAGTTCTCTTTGACAGATCTCTTTGGCCCAGAGAGACTGGCTGACTTGCCAAAGATTTTGCTTTCTGTGACTGACACAATAGCATCTTCCATCTTTGTTCTGGTTACCTTGCTTAGCTCTTGCCCGCCTTGGACTCTGCGGAACAGGTATGTTTATATGCACACATCTGCCTTACTCCACCCAGAGCCCTGCCACGTTTCCTCCCAATCTGTTCCCCTTCCTTCAGTCTCAGTTAAAGTCCTACACAGAGAGTAGGACAAAGCCCAGAGCCCTGCCACGTTTCCTCCCAATCTGTTCCCCTTCCTTCAGTCTCAGTTAAAGTCCTACACAGAGAGTACCCTTGGACATACCCGTGTGTGCCCAGCAGTGTCCCCACCTCAAAAGACAGCCAGGGCCGACAGTAGAGAGACTTCCACGCTCCTCAACGCAGGCCAGGTGGGGATTGCTACTTGGGGTACCACAACCACGTTCCGTTCTGACAAAGCCCCCTTAGCAGCTATTGAGCCCTGCCATGCACTGTGCATATAGTTTTATCACCTGGCTGTGCACCACCGTCATTCCTCCCTGCCTGGAGGACCCAGCGGCTGTCACTGTGATTGTCTGCACTGCTGTTCCAGTGGCAGGAGGTCTGGTACAGAACAGGCATCCCGGGCTCAGCAAGCTGAGCCAGACCAAGCTTGAGAGGATGCGCACCTTAGGAGAGGTTGAGAGGTGGCAGGTGCAGATGTGAGAGTGTTCTCAGGGCGAGTCGTCGTTGGATCAGCCAGAAGGCTTTGAAAAGTTAGGCAGGCCTGAACTTCTCACCCCTCCTCTGTGAAGCTTCTGCCTTCCCAGCTCTGAACCGAGGAAGGCCCTGCTTCTGACAGCTTATGCTTCTGCCTGGCACAACAGATACACATTCTCTTATGCCTGGAGACCAGGACACTGCCTTCCGCCTCACTATCGTATCCACAGTATCTGCTTAATAACGATTCGTTAAATGATTGAACACTTGACAACCATGTGATACAGAGAATAAGTCAGGCTAATCAATGTGGACGGTGTCAGAGGCTCTGCAATTGATCATGACCCTTTCACTTTTGTTCCTGACTCCTGAAATTGTACATGGAAGCCAAACAGGATTTAATTTCTTAAGGACTTTGAAGTCCTTCCTTATCAAATCCTTTCCTCCAGGAAGGCTTCTCCTTTCAGTGCATGTCCTCAGCAGACAGTCTTCATCTCCCAGTCACCCGGGTCTCCAGGCCTCTCTGGCTGCTCACGGATGACCCTGTCTGCATGCTTCTTTCAAAGGCTAGCATGAAAGCAGGGGAGGAGGAGATGGGCCTTGAGGTGAGGAAATCTGTCTAAAGTCACTCAGCAAGTCATGAGAAGGGCTAGAACCTGGTTATCCGGACCGTCTAGGAGGGCACTGTCACTGCATCATGTGGCCTCTCCAAGTGACAGCCAGCTGGAGACAAGTTTTCATCAGAAAAGTGGCTAGAAGTTAGGCACTGTCTGCAGCCACTAGAAAGCAGCTCTAGG